TTTTACATGTTTGTTTCGAGGAAAGGACTACAACTGCCAAATAAAAACGCATTAACTTAGGTCCAAGGTATCAGTGGACATATCAAACGAAGATAAGACAACAAGCGATAACGGATTTCGATTAATAGGCGCATATCTTACCATAATTTCGGCTTTGTAACCAATACAAAGTATTTCAAAACCCTTGATAAGCAGAGCAGATATTTACCAAAAAATGTTAGTTTTCTAAATTTACGCGGCAAATATCATGCAATAATGATGTCAATTATACATTCCCTGTCAATTATACCTCTGGACTAATGCGATACACTGTAGTTTAGAGGTCATTGCCCTGGGCAGTAAACTCGGGCAGCAAACTTTTGTTTCCTGCCCGGCCTATCAAATAACATGGCATTTTGACACCGACAGTTTCTTGGTCATAGTTTTACTGCCCGGCTCGTGCTGTGCTTAAAGGGACTGTCCCACCTTAACATTAGATTTGAGTTGAGATAGCCATCTTGATGGACGTTCTTTGAAAATCAGTGCCGTGAAAACCGTTTCTCCAGCAATTACTTCATCGCAAAGAAATTTGAGTTTGATTTTGACATCTGTGCAAATAAGTGCCACAATGTATTGGTATAGGCACTTAAATCTGATGACGTCATCAGGCTTTCGAACGTCCGTTAAATGTTTGACTAAAACGTTTTGTAGCACGCGGTGGTATATGCTGCGTTGCGCGCAACAAATGCCGCACTTTTAAATAAAGTCGCTAGGAACAGCGGAGATCCCAAAAAGTAAACAAAAGTAAAAGTCTAATATCTTGAAAACCGGTGAATATTTTTCGGTGAAATTTGGTAGATATTCGTTTTCGCTCTTTCTGAACCGAGCGACATCACTTTCATGCCAATTCATAAACTTTTTTAAAGGTGGGAGGGTCCCTTTAAGACATACCCCGGCATGTAGGAATATACATTCTTGGACGATACCGCGAAAACGAAATATTTCTATCGAGAGTTTTCAAAGGATTTCATGCACGAGGCCTTGGCCGAGTGCATGAAATTCTTTGAAAACTCGAGATAGAAATATTTCGTCGCGGTAGAGTCCTAGATATTATTTCCTGTATGTTTCTTAATATCGTTCGTTATCTGCTTAAAAAGGCCGAAATATGCATAGATAAAATACAGTAACAATAACTACACGTTAGATACCTACTGAAATACTGGCAGTTCTAATTACTTAACAGTTCAGCAAAGCTTTCAAATTTTCTTTAAAACAGAAGCCCTCGATGAAATGAAGCTATCCAAGAAAACCATCCAAGAAAACGTCTCGCGCAAAGTTTCTTGGATGGCTGGATTGCATTGCAAGACTGCATCAAACATACAGGAAATGAACTTCCTGTATGTTTGATGCAGTCTTGCAATGCAATCCAGCCATCCAAGAAACTTTGCGCGAGACGTTTTCTTGGATGGTTTTCTTGGATAGCTTGATTTCATCGAGGGCTTCTGTTTTAAAGAAAATTTGAAAGCTTTGCTGAACTGTTAAGTAATTAGAACTGCCAGTATTTCAGTATCTAACGTGTAGTTATTGTTACTGTATTTTATCTATGCATATTTCGGCCTTTTTTAAGCAGATAACGAACGATATTAAGAAACATACAGGAAATAATATCTAGGACTCTACCGCGACGAAATATTTCTATCTCGAGCTTTCAAAGAATTTCATGCACTCGGCCAAGGCCTCGTGCATGAAATCCTTTGAAAACTCTCGATAGAAATATTTCGTTTTCGCGGTATCGTCCAAGAATGTATATTCCCGCAAACTAAGACGAAACCGACGAAATATGTCAAGATTACGTAATATGTATAGTCACAAGGGGAAAAAACTTGCATATGGCACATTATAGAGTTCGGTGATATGGCAGCAACGAGTTGGTTTCCAATGTGGCGCGTTACTTTGCTACGAAGTCCTGTTCGCTCGGACTAGAACTCGATTTTTAGTACTATCTGAGACATTAAATCAAATCAGAGTTGCGCGTAAATGAAAGCGTTTAAGTAATAATTTTATTCAAAACAATTTTCAATTTGTTTTTCTTCTTTCAAAAAACTCTAAATTTTTTTCTTTAGATATAATTATTCTTTGTTTTTACAAGGCCAGTCCCAGGTTGCTATGGCGACAATGTGACATTGGAGTTGAACGAGACTGAATTGAATACATCAAGAATATGAATTGTTTCCCTCTGGATCTTACGTCTGGACAACGAGTTGCGTTGGAGAGGCCGGAAAAAGTGGCGATTTCAGGACCGCAATAATGGACCGTCATTGGAATGATTCTTTTTTCAAACGTGCGTTGTTTTTAGCCGAAATTTAGTTCTTACTATAAAATATTTTGTAATTAGATTTTGGCCGAGAATGAATACCATCAGAGCTAAGTTTTTACTTTCATTGTATTTTGTCCAGAAGCATATAGTGCTGTTTTATTGCAGTTTTTGCGCGTTTGTTACAAAATATGAAGCGAACCTGCAAAAAAGTTCCAAGGTGAAGATGATGTATATCGCAAAATATCTCATATTGACCTCAAGTTCATCCGTTCCTTCCATGATTGACTAGACAGATTTACACATTTCAATTTTATCTTGGATCAAAGGTGTCCGTGTGAATATCGGTGTGATCAGGTGCCAACTGCCAGAGGTTAACTTGAAGGGAAGCTTGAGCTATAATAATTGCTCTTGTCCAATGTCCATGTCCCTCCACTGAGAAGAAGTTATTAAATATTTTGCTTTGTGTATTCCAAGAGGAGAGAGAAGTGGGAACTATTTTCTTTGTGCCTTCATGTCGAATTGAAGATGGATCATTAAATTTTCAAGGCGTTGATCAACCAAGCATTTAGTCTTTCTCGTACAAAGCAGTGGCTAAGAAGAAAAAGTTAATCATACCTGAAGTTTAGTCATCTTACTTCAACTCAAACTTTGCAGCAAGATCCCCAAGGACAGAGGATATATTGTATACCTATCCTGTAAATCAAAACATTTTTGTGCTTGCAAAGGCTTAAGTTCTTTGTTATGTGCTCGGAGTGAGGCTATGGGCGTTTTGTTGTATGTTTATGCGGAGATTGAATATAACTGTGACCCTGTGATTGTTTGTATATTTACTACAGTCAAACAGCATATTCAAATAACATACTCACCTAGCTCATAGCTGTACCCCCACAGGATTTGCACTTGTTGATGTCTCAAGCATGAACAAAGCACTAAACTAGCTTAGTAGTTATCATTTCCCACATTTTTCTGAGCATCTAACATGGCATACAGCAGTGCAGAGCAGATTCAGAGAAGAAATATTTAAAATGCACAGACTCACACCAGCCACCCAATGAGCCAGTTCCTCATTTGGCTGTTTCCCTGGATGTGGTTTGGCAAGGTGAGCTAACTGTTATTAAGTTGAAGGTTAACGGGTAAGATTGAGTTAGGGTGAGTACCTAGTACCTATAACTGGGTGCTAATGCTATGCAGGTCTTGAGTAAGTTGCAAATAAGTGTGATGATTGAGGTTAGGTCAGGTTAGTCAGGTATGAATTGATCAGGTCACATTTTTATGGACACTTGGCAAATTAAAAAAAAACTAACATGACCTAATATTAGCTAACGCAACTAAACCTACATAACTACTAAACTATAGGTACTGAGCACCTACCTACTTGTGCCTACATCTCATACCAAGTCAAAATAAAGTTCCTTTCTGGAAGATTACCCTGGCAGTACTTTTTATCCCAGCCCTGTGAAGAAAACTAATACTTCTCAAGTTCTGAGTCCCTTCTGGCCATCCACAGAAAGAAATGCTGACAGCTTTGCTTTTGTATATTAGACCAATAATCACCATCACGGAACACATGATATGATCACATCGTTGCATGGATTGTCACATTGACAATTTTACTTAAATCCTTTTTTTCAAGAAATGCAAAGTAATGATGAACATCAAATTAAACATTATAAAGCTGATTTAGTGATCCAAGCTTTCTCTTCCAGTAGCAATAGAATGATTGCATGTTTCATTTGCCAGACACTGAGTAATGCACATTACCATCTGCATAGCAAAGTAAAGCTGCCCAGGTTTGTTCCTTCTAGATTTTTTCACTTGACTGTTAGCACTCATTGATATTGCTGCTGTAAGTAATATTTCAATATTCATACCAATACATCAATACGCATTCATCAGCCAACATTTTCTGGCTCGATACTGCGCGTGCTCTTCAGTATTGATCTCCTGCAATGTTATAGCTTATTTTCGGCCAATAAGCTCTTTTAATTTTACTTTTTCTTGCTGATAAGTGAGCCAGATCAACTTGCGTTTATCAACCAACATTTCCTAACTTCAACCTGATATTACTGATATTACTGATATTACTCAGGACTCACAACTCAGGACTCTTAGCCTCCTGTATACTTCAACTTGGGATTGTTTTCAGTCAACATGCTTCTTTAATATGATATAATTTAGTCACAAGAGATTCAAAACTTACAACAAAACGACATACAAGAGTTCGAAAACCATCAGATAAGCTTAAAAAAGGCCTTGGAACGGAGCAGAACGGAGCCAAGTGGTGCTCCATTTGTTTGTTTACAATAATTGTAGTGCTGATGTATTGTTTTAGGACTCTAGCGGTCGGCTCATAAAAACTGAAACATTTTCACAAAATCTGTAAGGCAATTAATATTTCTCTGAGAGAACTTAAATATTCAAAAGCTAAACACCATAAAATACAGGAATCAGAACGAAAAAGTAACCCAAAAATCCAGCCTAATAACCGGCTCCTAAAACTGCGGCAAAATCAGCACTTTTCCCCGCAACTCGTTGTCCAGACGTAAATATGCGGATCATATACCTGGACGACGGTGAAAACAGGGCGCCTGGGGCGATTTGATCAAGGTTCGTGAAATTTACACGTGACGTTTGGCATATAGAAGGCCCATGGAGCGGGAGAAGTTCCAAATGTCACGTGACTAATATGCCCTCCGGCGCCCTGTTTTCACCGGCGTCCATATACCTTGGCATGCTGGCAGTTCTCTATATACCGTGGTGCTGGCCGTGTTGCTTTGCTTTTGCGTGTTACATTATATTAATAGGGTTGGACGCTTGAGCCTGACGGCTACGCACCCTAATCCAGGAAGAAGAAGAATATTATAAATAGGAGAATTTCTTCATTTTCATTGCGTAATCAGTAGACCTTGGTGAGTGACGAGTGTCTCCTGTCATCATTATTTTGATTTTCAAACAAGTTTCATTTTGTTCATCGTCGTCGTTTTGGAAGTGGAAATTGCAGGAATAACAAATTACAAGATCTATCAATCAGCCTTTTTTTGCTCCAACTGTAGGCATTCTGAAAAGTACCTCACCTAGCCAAGTTTCGGCATTCATAGAGCATACATCACTTAGCATGGAGAAGTAGATTCTGACTGTAGACAATGTCAATGTGTGATTTGATAGGCAAAGGTCACGCTTGGTTATGATGGCCTCTCCGACCAAAGGTCTCAAAAATCACACATCACATGAAGATTTTCCAACTGAGGAGAGGCGTCGTAGGTTTGTAGGTTCAGGTTGTGGGGTAGGTTTGTAGGCTGGCGATTTTTAAGACCTTTGCCTATCAACTCACACATTTTCTATGGTAAGAATCTACTTATCCATGCTAAATAATGTGAAAACCATCATGAATACTCTGAAATAGACAATAATTTTTGATTTATCAATTATACCAACCATGCTTCATACTTGCTTCATACCACAAATTACACTACTGACACCATTTTGATGGTTATGCTCCATGTGTGCAAAGTGCGGCAAAATTGTAATGTAGCAGAGCACTCTAGAATTCAATAAAATAGAAAAATAAAATGATTGAAAATAAAAAATGGTCTAATAAAAACTAACACAACCTAACCTTACCTGACCTTACCTGACCTACCTACTGATTTTTGCCTACCCGGGGATAGGGAAACAGTTGCTCGCATGAATAGATTGATTGATAGATAAAAATATTTGACTTACCATTGCCTGTAATCTCTCCTAAGTCCTAAGGCATTGCTGGTTTACCGGCATTGCTTTCGGCACTGCACTGCTACGCCCGGGTACGGGGCAACAGGTTTCTTTACGGAATATGCAATATTTTAGTGCACTCATCTCTAATCAAAGTATACATAAACGGCGCAGGCAAGGCTATCTATGGCGCATGAAGCCATGCTGTGTGAAGCTTAGGTATAACACCTAAACTGATACAGGGGAACTTGTGAAATTTCATTTTTGGGGTTAGTACATCAAACTTTAGCAGTTTGAAGTCCTTATTTATGAAATCTGACACGGAGAATACGATTCCAGGCATCAACAGGTCATTCGCAAGTGGTTTGTATCTCAAAGGTCGCCCAGGCTAGGTAAGGTCTGTTTAGGTTTTGTTGGAAAGAAGCACCTCTGGGTATAGCGCCTCTCCTTGGTTGGAAAACCTTTGTGTGAGGTCTGCTCCATCCACTAATACCCAAGTTTCAACCTATGAGGTTGATATTTGGAGAAAAATTGCCTAAGTTTTCCTTATTGGTAAGCACTCACTTTATCCTTGAGGCCCAGCAGATAAGGTGATCAATTGCCCATCAGCTACTTTCCTTTTTTGCGCCTCTGAAATACCTGAGAGTGATGAAAGTTGGTTTTTGCACCTTGGGCTCAAAATTGAATTAAAAACTACACCATATTGTCATAAAGCCTTTATCAACCTAGAATAGGTATTGTCCATATCATTTACTCCTAAAAATAGGTACCCGCTTCAAGTAAAAATGCCAAAAACCTAACCTAACTGTAACATGACCTAACCTTGTGTAATGTTGCCTTACCTGACTCAATGGGCGGTCTGGTGTAACTTATAAATGTTTTGTGCAAAAAGTCTTGTAAGTATCGATGTATGGTATCACTTTTCAAGCTATGAAAGATATGTTCTTTACCTACTTTGTATTTGTATTTTTTTAATTTGTCCAGTTTTTAGAGGGTGTAAACTGCAAAAGGTACTTTTAGCCCCAATAATTTGAACTGTCACACACAATGTGATTGCTGATGGTTCAGAATGTAATCATTAGTAATTTATAATTTCTCACCTTGTTTTTTTGTGTGTGACCAGTGCAGCTTGTGAGAGACATTAATAATTAGTTTAAATGACTCATGCTGATGATCGTTATTTTTGTAAGACTTGCCTGAGTATTGTTACATTGCCAAGTGCAAACTGCCAACTGTCAAATGGAGAAGGGTTATGACTCATGCTAGACCCAGGAGGCAGTTACTTATCTGCACCTACTACATGTGATATCCATTTACTTTGGTTTGGTTAATTTTGAGATGCTCAAATTTGACAATGCTGCTGGTGGCCTTGGGCCACCAGCAGCTGATTGGCTGCTGGTGTGGGATTCTGCCAAAAGGAAGAGTTACACAGCAATCAGCATATTATGGGACATGGTCAGACTGTGTCCAGATAATTGTTTTATGATGTGTCTGGTACCCTGTGATGACATGCTCTTTGTTTTCAGGGTTACAATGCCTCCAAGATTTCCAGATGAGGTGGATGTTTTTTCAGTGCCTCATTCGAGGATGAGAGACTTAGTGAGGATGTACAAAAGTCAGGTCAGTTTTAGTGTGCGTAAAACGTCTACTTTTATGTGTAATATTCTTTAAATGACACTAATTTCACCCTCTAGTAACAGACTTAGGTTGTTAACAGCTGAGCATTCAATATAATATGATCAAAGTCCTGTAAAAATACTTGATCACAACAGACTCAGAAACTCTGTCAGCCTCATAAAAAATGGTTTGTCATGCAAATGTGAAAACATACATTCTTAACCCTCGCCCCAGTGGGGGGGGGGGGGGCATATGTTACCACCCTGTCGTGTTTTTTGCGTGTAAATAAAAAACCGCGGCGCGTAGCGCCGCGCCGCTTGGGGTAGCTTTTGGTACATCAATTTTGGACAATGTGTGAAATTTTTGACCCAGGTCATGTCAGGTCAGGTCACCAGGTCAAGTTAACTGACCAAGCCTAAAAAAGTTTGCTATCATGTCCAGCCTGCAGTGTTTGTCAGAAAGGTTTTAAACTTGGTTGATTGCATGATGTTATGGGCACCTACAATTTGTATATCTCGGATTTTATATCCGTGACCTAAGGTCAGGTCAGTGGCGTGACCTTTCCATTACAAGTCAATGGAGAAAAATGAAAATGCCTCTAGATCCGTGTGTACGCATAGGAACAGTCCAAATATTTCAGAATCGCAATGATTTGGACCACCCGGGATGACCAAGGTGTCATTTTTGCTGATAGCCACTAGAAAGGTCATCCGAGGTCATTTGAGGCTACAAACAGATTTTTGCCAATAACTCGCGATTGGAAAGAGATAGAACGCTGGGGATGGTCTCATTGTGTTTGTCTTGTTGAGACGCATCGAATGATATGCGACATGACCTTGTCCGGTCAGGTCATGACCTTGACCTGAGGTCAAATTTTCAAGTTGACCTTTCAAGGTCAAATTATAGTTAATTCGACGCGTCTCGGCGAGAGAAACACGATTCTGGAAATAGAAATGTCGTGGCTTTTTGTAGTCGAAAGTTATTGTCGAAAAACACTTTTCGTAAAAACGCGACAGGGTGGTAACATATGCCCCCCCCCCCACCCCAATTTTGACCTTTGATGATCTCTGGTGACACCAATATTGCTCTAAGATGAAAATGACCAAAATACTTTCAAACGTACGCATTGAGAGCTATCGACTGCTTTTTACCGCGTCTTTCTAGCCCTCTTAGTTTTTGAGTTAGAGGTGGGTGGTAACATATGCCCCCCCCCCCTCACTAGGGCGAAGTTGGCTGAGACCGCCACTGGGGCGCGGGTTAAGCATATCTGCATGTGAAGGTAACATTTGAAGCATTTGTGCTAGTTTTCATGTCTACAGAAATTCAGCTTGTCAATTGCAAATGATTGCATGATTCTGAAGATTTCTGAAACGACTGGTGATTAAGAGTCTCTGAAGAGTTAAGCATTCATATGATGCATTTTTTTTTGCTTTGTACTAAAAGCCAATGTTGGTGATTGAGAAAGGTATACATTTCTTGCTGGTTCAAAATTTGTTGTGCCTATATACTGATTCTAGAAACATATTGAATTGTTCTAAAACCATCTGTTGTAAGTTTTTGTTGGTAGGCTGAAGGCGGCGTAATGCAACCAGTAATGCCATTGTTATGTTTACCTGATGACAACTACAAGTGTTGATATAGATAGACAAATTGAATTATAATTGGAAAACAATGGGAACGTTTTTGGTTATATTACTTTAAGTTGGCTACACATGTGTTTCGATATAAATCTTTTTCAAGCCATAAAGCCATTATTTTGTCTTTATGGCCTGAAAAAGATTTATATCGAAACACATGTGTAGCCAACTTAAAGTAATATAACCAAAAACGTTCCCATTGTTTTCCAATTATAATTAAACTACAAGTGTCCTTTGCTTTATCTGTAACATGTGCAATAAATGACTTGGTACCTACCTATCTCAATTGTTTATTGACACTGTACACTGAATATCATGTGTACGTTCCACGTGGCAATGTGGTATTTACATTTGTCATAATCTGTTGCATAGATAACATGATTCATGTTATCTACGACTGTTGCAAAGCTCACGTAGGTATTATTGTCCATTCGCCCAGCTGTCCACCACGGATTTCAACAACTCCGTGAACATGTCCGGCTTCCTGAGCACGCTGCTGGCAACGTTCAAGGAGTTCCAGCAGCACGAGCAGATCGAGAACCGGTTCATCATGGACCGGCTGAAGCGGCGCCTGAACGCCCTCTCGGTGTACAACTCGGCCGTGTGTAACTGCCACCAGGACAACCGGCTGACAGAGGTACGGATCGGACGTCCTCGCTGTGTAGCTTCGCCCCTCTGACCGCCTTTCCCCGGCGTTTTATTGCCAGCTGTGACCTATTTACGTAACGCCTTATCAAAATCATCCTTCAAAGTAATGTTCAGCTGAAGGCTTACACCGTGCCCTTGCATCGCTACATAGCAGACTTACCGTGTTAATGGATATCTTGACCCATTTTCATGGGAGGGTGGGATTGGTTTGGATTGGAACCTCTTGAGTAGCATGTTAAGGCATTTTTATTGTCATAACTCCTGACAATGTTTCCAATTTATCACTACAGGCCACAGGGTGTCCGGAAATTATTTGCCCCTCCATCAGCTCGCCGTCATAATTAATAAGCACAGAGCCCCTGGGTCATGGTTTATTTGCCGACTTATCCGCTGCCCTGTCCTACCCATGCCCTCATCCGCTTTGCCATTCCATAGATCAAGATGACCAGAGTACCCCTGCTGATGTTCAGCCACACTTTTCACAGTTTCCTCTAAAGTCCGTTTTTTGTGGGAGCTGGTTCAATCTTGCTGAGCTCCTCCTTCATGATCCCCCATAGGTTTTCGATTAGGATTAGGACAGAGGATTCGATTTGACTTTCTACTTCATTCCAGTCTTCAACATAACTTCAGCGCGATGACGCTTTGTCAAAGAGTTTCTTTCGTCATAGTAGACACCACGTTCAGGTGCGAGTTACGCTTGCCAAACACTGGCCCCTGGCGCCTCGCAAGTGTCAAGGTCAGGTGACCAGGTCATGTGACTAACGGACAGCTGTGGATAGTCTGAGGCACGGTCTTAGCACATTTTCAACAGTTCTTAAATCGCATGGTGGGATTATAGCTGGATGAAGAAGGGGCAAATAATTTCCGGACACCCTGTAGTGTATCCACCGATGGTATGTTATTGTTTTAACTCCCTTCTGACTGTGTGTTCCGTGTTCTATGTCCGGCCTCAGATGCTGGAGATGGTGCGTGGTGGGCTGGACAGCGGCCGGCACGACCAGGACGAGTTCGTTCGGCAGCTGCGGCGCAAACTGGACGAGTTCACCGACAACTTCCTGCCGCACATGAAGGAGGAGGAGGAGATCTTCCAGCCGCTGCTCATGAAGTACTTCGGCTACGACGAGCTGCGCGAGCTGAAGCAGGACGTGCTGCAGAACCACCAGCTCTCCGAGAAGGTGGACCTGCCGGAGAAGGCGCCCGAGCCGGTGCCGCTGCCGCTCGCGGTGCCGCGTCCCGCCGCGGTCGCTGAGCCGGCGCCGGTGCCGCGGCTGCCGCCTGAAGTTCTGACGCTCATCTTCTGCCACCTGCGGCCGCCGGACCGTGCGGCGTGCGCGGCCGTCTGCCGCCAGTGGCGCTCGGCCAGCCTCGCGCCGCGCCTGTGGAGGAGCCTCAGCCCGGCGGCGCCCGCAGGTGAGAGATCCGGACAGACGGTACGGGACCGCTCCGGATAGTGCTCAGACTGATCCGGACACACGGACAGACTGCTCGGGACCGCTCCGGATAGCGCTCAGACTGATCCGGACACACGGACAGACTGCTCGGGACCGCTCCGGATAGCGCTCAGACTGATCCGGACACAGGGATAGACTGCTCGGGACCGCTCCGGATAGCGCTCAGACTGATCCGGACACAGGGACAGACTGCTCGGGACCGCTCCGGATAGGGCTCAGACTTATCCGGACACACGGACAGACTGCTCGGGACCGCTCCGGATAGCGCTCAGACTGATCCGGACACAGGGACAGACTGCTCGGGACCGCTCCGGATAGCGCTCAGACTGATCCGGACACAGGGGTAGACTGCTCGGGACCGCTCCGGATAGCGCTCAGACTGATCCGGACACAGGGATAGACTGCTCGGGACCGCTCCGGATAGCGCTCAGACTGATCCGGACACAGGGATAGACTGCTCGGGACCGCTCCGGATAGTGCTCAGAGCGGGGTGTGGTGGGACGGTGAAAAGGAATAGCTTTAGTTTTGAGATAATAGATGCTGAGGTAACAATAAAGTATAAACACATCATTATTTGCCGTTAGTTGATATTTACATAATTGTTTTCGCTATGCGGCCGCCCATATCCCAGCTCGGTCACCACACGCCGACCGTTGTATTTGCCGTCTCCCAGCCGACTGTGACGCTGCTCAGAGTGACGCCATCGAGGAGCTGATGCTGCAGTCGGCGCTCCAGAGCAAGCTGCTCGATATGGACGCAGATGTGGACGAGTGTGACCCGTACTACGGCTCCGTGCAGAGGCGCGACGACTCCCACGCGGCCGCCGAGCAGCGCCGGAGACTCAAAAGGTGAGCGACCGGACATTCGGCGTGTGTCGTCAATTTACCGTAACAACAAGTGGCCGGTGCTGATCCGAGTTCATTTTCAGACTGACGCTCGTTAACAATCACCGAATGGCCCAGTAGTACGTGTTAGAGTTCCCAGTTTCTAGTGTGTCTGTGACTTTATTCCGTGTATGCTGACATCGATTCACACGAGTCTCACTAGTAATGTCATAATCTTTCTTTACTTTGGTATGCTGCATTCTATGCACAGTGTTCAGCGCAGCTTGCGCCGGTGGTTCGTGACCGCCTGTCCCTGCCGTCCCGCAGCCTGACGGCGCACACGCTGCCGCTGGTGGGTCAGTACGTGCAGAAGCTGGTGCTGGCCGGCTGCCAGGGTCTGGGCAGCACCCAGCTGCGCCAGCTGCTGGTCCTCTGTCCGAACGTGCGCCACCTGGACGTGAGCTACACACCCATCGGCGACTGCTCCTTCAAAAGGTACCGGCCGCCGGGCGGGGAGGCCTGTTAGGGCGGACAGGACCCGACGCTGCAGTGTGGGGGACGTTATGGGATAGCCTTCCCCGCCGCAAAGTTTGGCACACTAACCACGATGCTTTTTTTGCCAGTCATGCTGTGACGATGAAAACGTCACTACCCTACCGATGTAGATTGTGGACGATTCCGAATGTGCTTAGTAATGGTGTCTGTATTGCATCAGTCGGTTTTTCATAGGCATCGTTTTTCGTGCCCTGAGCACAGCGATATTGCGCCTAACTCTGATGACGAAACATCATCCTTATCAGCTGTAACCACTACCGTATCCGTCCGCTTACTTCTCTATCTTCTGCATACGTGGCGTTTCAACGGGCCAGATAGCATCTATTGTAAAGTCGTATTTAACTGGATTTCGCCGATGTCTCAAAATTCACTGATTTGCCAAAATGTGCATGTACTCGTAGCATAGATATTGACTTACCCCTGCCAGGAACCGCTAATTACGCATCAACCACATCTCGTCATCTAAACTTGACATCAGCGTAGTGATATTACTTATTTACTTGCGTGTACTGTTCTAAATGATATGGCACCTGAACGTGCTGGTGCCGCTGGGATGTTGATCTGTGAGCTGACGGCGCGGTATCTGCCGCAGACTGCCGCCGGCGGCGCTGCAGCGGCTGGAGCACGTGGATCTGTCGGGCTGCGAGCGGCTGACGGACCGCTGCGTGGACCGGCTGGTCGACCAGCTGGACCTCCACTGCCCGCCGCCGCCGCCGGCCGCAGAACACGCCGACATCGAGGAGGCGGGCGGCTCCGCGCCGCCGGACGCCGACTGCTACGACTGCGAGAGCCACGAGGAGTGCAGCGCGCCGCCGCCGGCCGTCCGCTGCCGGCTGGCGCGCGACAAGAACGGCCGTCTGCTGGTGCCGGCGTCGGGCGGCTGCGGCGGCTGCCGGCCGGGCGCCGGGCCGCGGCTGACCCACCTGCTGCTCTCGGGCTGCCAGCGGCTGACGTCGGCGGCCGTGTGGCGGCTGGCCGGCTGCCGCGCCGTCTGCTCCCTGCGCCTGCTGGACGTCAGCGGCTGCTGGCGGCTGACGGGCGCGGCGCTGCGCGCGCTGGCCGCCGCCGCGCCGCGTCTGGACGCCGAGCGGCTCTGGTACTGCGACCAGATCGGCGACGGACCGCACCCGGACACCGCCAACGGCTGCGACAACGTCGAGTGCCCGATCCGCCACTGCTGCCGCAACAAGTGAGCGGCTCGTCGCTGAAAAGTGAACCGTTTTTACTTCTACGGCTCTCGTTTGCGCTAAAAAGACTTCATTCACATGAGTTGAGCACCTCTCCGCCGTCCACACGCACCCTGTTCTGTGCTGCGCCCGCCGCTCCGCTGTGTTAGGATTGTTGTATTGCCATAGTGATACTATAATTTCTATGACTTTGTAATACTTTGTGCCATTCGTGGAGCGTCACTGTCACTTTCCTCTGTGAAAGTGTCGCGACGCTTCGCTGGAGAATCTCCATAAGACACGTTTGTTCCCGTTGCTTTGCCCTGCTGCGCTGGATCCGCCTGTTTCTCGCTCCTGTTATAGGATAGATAAATAGCACTTTATCGAAGTCTAGGTATAGAATCTATGCTGCTCTCTGTTCCCCGCCTGTCGAGGTGAGCAGGCCGGAGGTTTGATGTGCAGTTGTATTGACAAACTCGTCGGTATTGCCACGCGCTGAATTACGGGCAGTGGTCGTGTGAGCCGCGCGGCTTTGTTCCTGTCTGAACGTCACAAGAAGACGCATCACGCGGTGCACCAGTGGCTCTAGGCGTCCGCATGATGAACTCTGAAGACACCGCAATGCACTCATCGTCTGTCGGCGTGGCGGTCGCTCCACTGCCCACGACACGGCAGTTGGAACTGTGAGCGAGTTTTCTGCATCGCATGCCATTTGCACGATCCCCGGGCGGCTGTGGTTGCCGGGACGTGAGAGACGTGTGTGTCGAAAGGTTTAATCCCTTTTGGGCTGTGATTGGAGGAGCGGGTCTGTGTCTGCCGGTCAGCTTTGTGGACCGCCTCCTCGCGGCGTGTGAGAGAACGAAGGCGGGAGCGCAGTTGACAACATGCTCGATCCGCTTAGAAATATTCAGCACCAAAAGTCAATAAACCTTGTTTTCAGTATTATGCTCTTTTATCGACGATCGTGATAGGCTAGGTCAAGTTGTCGAAAGTATGATGTCAAGAGCCAGGCCGATTGCTTCGAATATGATAACGGCATGTTGGTTGCGTTAGGGAATAGTGATGAAAGGAAGCATCCCATACTATTCATGCGGTGGTTCCTCTTGAGCTAGAGTCTTCCAAAATTTTGTAATTCCATCTGGTTAGTGGCTAGCCCTGTTAGTGACAGTCCCCAAGGCGCTGACTACAGTCGGTGAGCACATGAATCGTGATGTCCGCACTTTAGACTCTCTCAGAGCATGGTGCTGTAAAATAAGGAAAATATTTTTCCAATAACGGCGTGCTAGCGTCAAAATATTGCGCGTGTTATTTTTGCGATAGGTGTTGGACGGGTGCGCGGAAGTTGGAGGTGGATTCTTGGGGAGATTATTTTCCATTTTTATTTAAAATAAAATGTTTGAAGCAGAAAATTAGAGGACATTGAATTGTAAGTATGAATCAGTTTTCACCGTCGTTGTTGTTTTGGTTTAGGGCGCGTAGCAGCTCGGCTCTTTTGTCCAACTTCTTTTGATGGCAGTATTTCTTTTTCTTCTTTTCTTCTTAATGGGTAAGGGAAACTAAGCAGGGTGACTAACAGATTTAAGATAGGTCTAGCCGTCACTTTTATGTAATATTCAGTCATATATTGTAGTCTCTTGATCTGCGGAATAAAAATGGACCGATGCTGTTCCGGTTGCCGGCTTTGCTGCCAACTTTAATATTTTAGAACATAATACTTAAATCAATGATATAACCATGCTCTTTATCACTGCTGCATCAGTATCAGCATCCAGCGTGTATTTGGACAGCCCCTTTTGTTTTTCTCCTTCGGAGGGTATCCTTCAGACTGTTGTTTGGGCAGGTGTTTCACAGAACGGGCATTTAAGCTTTCGCTGCCATAGTGTGCTGTGCGTTTTACATTTTTTAAATTGAAAATATCTATTTTTTTAATGAAGAGTCTGAAATAGTAACTTTGTACATTGTAGCTTCTGTCATGTTCAGCGGGTACTGGGTATTCAGTCTGCTTTTTCTTCTCTGGTTCATTATTTCCTGCCTTTCCACCAAGGATCATTATCATTTACCATTAATGATTACCATTTTTCATTAATGAAATGTATCCTTTGGTTTTAGGTGGTGTAGATATACATTATGGATAAATCTGAAGAAGGGTTCAGCAAGAGCATGGCTACAAAAGAGGAGGATGAACAGCTGAACAAGTATGTACTATGTATTGCTATTGTTACCAGGGTCAAACACCAGTTAGATGTCTGACATGAAGCTAGAATATGCATATGCTTGTGATTAATGGAAGAGAGATAAACCCATTTAAAATGTTTGAATGTTTGCTATTGAGAAGGCTTATACATGTTGCTTCCAAGAATGTTCAATGCCCAGTCCATACTGCAGATGGTGGCACACATATACAGGCGCAGACACTCCATATGGTTCTGCCCACATCACTCTTATCTGTATGATATTGATTGAGTCTTGAGATTCACTAGCAGCTGACAGTAGGTACCTATATATTACCCACATGCTAACAAGTAAGCTGCATTAACTCCCTGACAGCTGTGTTCCCCCTAACCTTGCCCATTGGTCGCAGGCAGCAGTACGAGGCAGCAGCGGACGAGTGGGACGCTCTGCCGGACGTACACTGTGCGCCAGCCGGCCAGCAGCCGTCCCCGGGTGACCAGCAGCATCTGCCGACCGCCACCGCCTGCCTCGAGTTCGCCGACGTCTGGGAGTACTTCAGGGAGAAGGACCTCTCTGCCCACATGGTAGGCGCTAGTGCTGAAGGAATTTGTAGTCTCAGGGGCATGCACCATCGTCCATCAGTGCATCCTACGGTAAATGACAATTCCAGAATCGTTGCGAATTCTTGCAACATTGCACAAGCTTCCAATGCCTCGATGTTTACTGAGGGTTGCAAAGACTTGAGGCATGTTTTCAACACAGATGTTTGCTTAAGCAAAAGCTGGTGAAGTGGTTTTACGTCGTAATATCTTGACACCATTTTCCCATCTGAGACTTGTAGTACCAATCTTGATAATTATTATTTCAGGCCAACATCCAGCCAACTATGGAAAGGAAGCCCGGCTGTAGACTTCTGTTCTGCAGATTGCTGGGTCCGCCCGCCCTGGACAAGCGTTTAGTGCCCGAGAGAGACAGGATATTCGCCATAGCACAAAGTGAGCGCTGCAATATCGGTATTTGACCATGGCTTGTCTAACGAATGGCTTAGGTAATAACTGGGATTATTTCACAGTTAACAGTTTCAAGCGAAGCTGTAGCTTCAATAACAGGTGGCAGTAATTGAATCGGATATCGCCTGCAATTGTTCGCGTAATATGGACGAACATTCGTTCAATGTTGAAGTTGTTGTTGTCAATGTTGAAACTGCTTGATTGAATAGTGCCCTCATGGGGATATGGTTCTACCAATGTCGAGTCGATTCATCTTACCATAGACCTCTGTGCACCGAGCTCCATCATAGAGGTGTTCAGAGGTCTATGATTTTACGTTGCAACTAGCATCCCTTTCGTTTCGCGAAGTTCTGGTTGTTACAAACTGATTACTGAATTTGATTCGACCGATTTGTTTCTTCGAAATACCTTAAGTATTTACCTTAAGTATTTACCTTAAGTAAAGGTCATTAGATACCCTTTCGAGTAATACGACCCTTTACTCAAGAGGCGCCTCCTCCTCTTCTGATGAAGACGAGTTGGCTGCCATGCTTGTTGTCGCCATAAAATGACGACCACTGTTGTTAGTGACAGTAGCTACTGTTGTTAATACGATGAGTAGCCACTCTTGAGCATTAGTAGGAGAAGTTGTAGTTAAACTTGACGGGGTGGTCCTTCCATTCTTTCCCAAGTCTGAACTTAAAAACATTGACATTTGGTGCTTCAATAGTGTTCCTAGACAGCTTGTTCCACGCCCGAGTCACTCGTGCCGCGAAGAAGGCTTTCCTAGGTCCCAACTGATGCTGAACCTGCAGCTTTTGACCATGACTTCGGGTGGTACGGCTAAGAGAGTTCTTGAACATGCTGTTGCGACAACACGAGCACTCTCTTTGGTAGTAGAAATACCGTTTAATATGTCTATGATTGCTCGCGAAGAGACGCTACACGTTACATGTCGTCTGCTAGTGAGCTCAGAGCACTACCAGCTGCCCGGCGATGATGTATGTGCCGTATTCTGTGAGTCTTAACCGCCCGCCGATTTCCGCCGCGCCGTGTCCAGGTCCTCTGGAGAACGAGGAGGCGCGTCAGGTGCAGATGCTCACCACCATCTACAAGAAGCTGATGTCGACCCGGCTGGACTGCGGCCGCTACGGCCACCACTGGGAGAGCATCGGCTTCCAGGTGAGAGCGCCGACCGGTCGCCAGACGGAGACGGAAGTACCAGTCTTCCGTGCCGTAACGACGGGTAGCTGTCACTCTTCGCGACATTGATCGTGATGGTTGGTATGCCTAGATTTGATTTTATCATTTGATGGACCGGAGCTTCTTTGCTTGACGATGCTCAACATCCTCCTGTCATTGACCTTTCCTGGACAGTGACCCGACGACTGACCCGACCTTTGGCCCTCGGGACAGTTGGCCCACTCTTGTCCCACCCCAGGGCAGTGACCCGGGGACTGAGCTGTCCTTTCAAAACCCCGGCATCTGAGCCAGCCCCTGACCCGCCCTCATGGCAGTGACCCGCCCTCTGACCCCCAGGGCAGTGACCCGCCCGCCCTCTGACCCGTCCCAGGGCAGTGACCCGGCCACGGACCCCCCAGGGCCGTGACCCAGCCTCTAACCCCCAGGGCCGTGACCCGCCCTTTGTCCCGCCCTCAGGGCAGTGACCCAGCCTCTAACCCCCAGGGCCGTGACCCGCCCTCTGTCCCGCCCTCAGGGCAGTGACCCGCCCTCTGACCCCCAGGGCAGTGACCCACCCTCTGACCCGCCTCAGGGCAGTGACCCGCCCTCTGACCCGTCCCAGGGCAGTGACCCGGCCACGGACCTGCGCGGCGCCGGCCTGCTCAGTCTGGTGAACGCCGTGTTTCTGGTGACGGCTCCGCAGTACGGCCGGCTGTCGGCCGACCTGTACCGGCTCTCGCACGACCCGCGCCAAAACTTCCCGCTGATGGTGCTGGCTATCAATGTGACGCGGCTGGCGCTGAACGCGCTGCGGCACGGCGTGCTTAACAGGTGGGTCCCGGCGGAGCAGGGGGCTAGCGGACGCTCAGAGGGGGGGGGGGGGGGGGAGGCGACAGACACTGAGCAGGGGACTGACAACCACTCGGGGGCGGAATGGTCACTGGCAGGCTTGATTTTGAATTTCCGACCTATTGACCCCATAGAAGCCCACAAGACCTGCAGTCCTTAACCCGCGACCGCCTGGGGGGGGGGGGGGGGTCGGATCCGACCCCCCCTCCGTTTTTCTTGAATAACTCATGAACCGCTTGCGCTATCAACTTGAAACTTGGCATACCTTCTCCCCCATCAATTTGACGTCTCCTGTGCGATTTTTAAGAAAAAAAATTCAAAAACTTTTGAGATATATCGATTTTAGTGATGTAACTACATGGCGTTTTCAGTCAAAAATGGTAAATGTTTAAAAAATCGCCAAAAATCGAGGTTTTGAGCAAATTGCAAATTAAGCACATGAAAAGACGCAGCTCAACGAGTTCTTTAAAATGGCTATCTCGGATTTTCCATAAAATGCGTTTTTCACCCCTAAAAATTCAAAAAACTATATTTTTTGGAAAACAGCTGATAAAATCCAAAATTTTGAGAATTTCCAAAAAACCGGAACATATGTTATAGAGCTCTATTAGAACATTAAATGTCTCAAATTTCAACTTTCTATCTTGATTTTTGACCCCCAAATTGTAAAAAATAGCTCCAACATGCATAGGGCATGGTGACGTCATAAGCATTTTCGCGAATTGGAGGCACTTCTGAACATCGCATGTG